GCTTTGAGGGAAGCCTAGGTGAAAGCGGGCGAGGAATATCAGCATACAATGTTCGAAGACGAATGGCGTCGAGCCTTTACACGTAACAGTGGAGAAAATTTGAAATCTAGCTTATCCTTACTGGTCGCAACGAGTTGCCTTATGTGTTGACGTGAATAGCATGCTCTTAAAGAAGCCAAAAACATTATGCAGTAAGCCTTGCTGTGTAATGTTGGGACACAGTTTATCTGAACAAGTCAGAAGACGCCACGTCCGGTGACTACGCCATCGCTGTAATTGCCCACGCTGGTAAGGTGTTTTCACCCGGAGCCAGAGTCACACATTTACAAGGGAAAGATGGTAGGTCGAAGTGGCCGTTCAGAATGAGATGTAAACCACTCGATGCGTCTTTGAACGCTAAACTCAAATATTCCTTCCAAATCTGCTGAACGATTCTCTGAGCAGAGTGATGAAGCAAAACAGCGCAACGGCGGCGGGTGGGACTCACAGTCAAAATATCGTAGGATCGGTCCCTCACTGTGTTTACTGTTCTCCATTTTCTATGGAAACAGGTAAACCGCTTCCCTAGCCTATTTAAGTGAAGCGGTGAAGAAAGCAACACAGAAATTTTCATGAGGGACCGATACTTCGTCATTTTCGCTGTGAGTCACGGCCACAATCGTTGCCCTGTTTCGCATCATAACTGCGTTCAGAGAATAGTTCAGCAGATGCGGAAGGTAGACTTGGAATCAGCGTTCAAAGAAGCATCAAGCGGTATACATCCCGTTTCAAATGGCCACTTCGCCTTACTATACTCGTTAGACCACCAGCCGCAGTGGTCGCGATAGGAATCCCATCTAAATTTTGCTTTTTGGAATCCTACCTCACTTTGAGGAGTGAAGACTTTCCTTTTTCGATGTCAGTACCACGAAAACCTTGGGCCGAAACGGGATTCGAACCTGGGACCTGTCGCACCCAAAGCGAGAATCATACCACTACACCATGCGACAACGACGACTGATAGGCAAAAGTTGGGCCGAACCGGGATTCGAACCTGGGATCTCTCGCACCCGAAGCGAAAATCACACCCCTAGACCATCCGG